AGGACGAGCAGGAGGAGGAAAGGGAAATATCAGAACCCTGTGTTTTAGAGGAGGAAGAGGAGGAGGAGGAGGAAGAGGACACTGCCAACACATAACACAGTATGACACGGCACCTGAACTTTTTTATATTAGAGAGGAGAAACACTTATTTATGGTTAAGATATTAGTGTTTTTCATTGTCTATTTTGCATACGTCGTTCAGAAGTGCTTTTTAAATGTCCGCCTTTAACCTGTTTTTTTATTTTTCATTCCTCACTCTTTGAGTTTTAGCCATTTTTACACTCAGGAATATCTTTTCCACTTCCACCTGTCATTCATACAGACAAACTAAACAAATGAAAGGTTAAAAAGCTCGACTTGTATTCCTGATTGTGAGGTACTTTATCTATTCTTTATTTTTTTGACTGAAACTGTATTTCAGAAACATTTAACTCAGAAAGCAGCTGTTTTTCACCAACGAGACACTATTTGTTCCTGTTTATCTGAAGGAAAGTGGCAACTCGAAGTATTTTAGCAGACAAACACTTTAGAAGTGAATACTCCATGCTTTGAACTTCACGTCTTCCTGATGCCTTGAATGTGTTATTGATCTGGATTTAGCTGTCTGTTGTGTTTGTGTATCAGTCATTATTTGAAGTCAATGAACATGGTACCAAAGTGAAAAGAACTCGTGAGACACCATTTTCACACTGAAAATACTCATTTTCATTTAAATTACCATATTTGGGGTAAATATGTAAATGTGGTAATTTCCACTTTTTTTTGTTATACCTTTATTTGTTGCATTCAATCCAGATCTGAAAATAATTTTAAAATATTATTTTTTGAACAATAAGTTGCTCTGTTAAATAATACCTGATTATGACCATATTTCAACTTTTTTTTTTTAAATGTATTCGCCCAAGAACAAGAACTCTGCTATAAATCGGTTATGAAATAATAGCTTGAATAAGCCTTAAATGTTTTTGTTGCCTATCATTGTTGTCTATCTTGCTAGCAATGGAGTAAAATGAATCCTGGTTATCACTTTATAAATAACAATATGAATTATTATTATAATTAAATAATACTATTTGCATTATTATTATTATTATTATTATTATTATTATGGCCCTGCTCATTTGTTTCTCAGAAATGTTTGCCAGCTGTTTGGTGCCATACGTCCCTGGCCAGTTAAACAGAAAACAGCTGACATAAATGATCAAGCTCAATTTAGTGCTTTCTGTTGTCACATGATCATGGGACAGTCAGCTTCAGTGCAGAGCCTCATTGTAAGTGTGAATCTAGTTGCACTGTACCTTTTCATTTTCTTTTTTGTTTTTTGTAATTAGTATTTATTTTGGTTATTTTTGACATTGCCAAACATTACCAGTCGCAATGTTTTTAATTGCTGCTTTACTCATCTCTGTCAAGTGTCCTACTGTACAAACATCCTCTTCGTTTTGTTACGTTCATGCTAGCATTATTTATTAATGCTCTTTGATGTGCTTGTAGCGCAGTTTTAATTTAACTGTAGCATCGGCGATGCAGGCTTATGAGTCAGTTTTCCTTAATATATTATTTTAATTATACATATGCAGTAAATATACCTAATCAAATGTACAAAATTCTGTATATCGAAGCCTTTTGAAACGACCCCTTTCTCGTTGCTGTCTTTACTCCATTTAAAACTCATTCAGTTGCCAAGTTTGCTTTTTTATTAGTAGTTCATATTTTTTTAATTGTCTCCATTCTCTACATTGTTTTTAATTTCTCTCTGTTTACATACATGTATTTATTGTGCTGTACAGTACATATTGTTGCTCTTATCATGTGGTTGTAAATGATTATATCATCCCTTTTGGTGATGGTGTTGTATTATGGAACTCTTACTGAGAGAATGTTTGTTATTCTTAGTATGTAATGATCCCATTGATATGTGTCTCTAGAGAGATTGCGTAGAGAAAGGGAAAGCCAAATTATAGTCATTACTGTGTTTATTTTTCATTCTTTCTTTCTTTTTAAAAGAAAGTGGTTCCGTGGCCTGAGGGTTGTGCCTTACAGATAGCTCTTTAGATTTTATCCTCTTGCTGCACTAAAGAAACTTAAGAAACTACTGGCTGGACATTGACCTAGATGTGTTTGTCGTGTTCCTCCTGTTTATGTGGCATAAATGCTCCCAGCATAAAACAAACAAACAGACAAAGAAAATAGACAAAAGTTGTCAGACCTCATCGGACAGGGTAAAAGCAGGCCAGTGTCATGGGTTTGGTTTTGCGACCAGCTGTAAGAACCTCCATCCTATTTCCGTCTATGCTGTGTTCGTCTGACTGAGACATTCGAAGACATTTGCGTTTCATGCAATATGAGAGAAACCATCTTTCTGTTTGGGGGAAAACAGGGCATTTTGATTTCCAGATCCTTCACAAAAAGCCCAAACGCTCAATTTGGGACTCATTTTGACACATATACTGTAGATTCTTATTGACCCTAAATGGATGAAATCAGTGCGTCCTTCTCGTCTCTTTTTAAATCATGAGAGAAATACACAGAAGTTGACAAATGATATTTAGGGATAACTATTTTTTTTGTTATGTGGCTTGAATGACAAAACTTGTCTGGAGGTTTCACAAGACCGTGTAGTTGTTTATTGGACTGCTTGTTTATCGCAGTCTATTGGATAGAACTGTAGAAATAAAAATTTAAGTACAAAAACGTTTTTTTATATGCACCAAAATAAAAGCATGGGTTGACTCTATGATGTTGTCTTTTGTTTCCTACCTGCAGTCTCTCTATTAACAAATCTATGATTTGTTTAGCTTTATTTTATTCATAAATGTAATTTTTTGAGATGGACTGTTCAAGTTATATTTGGCCTGATCTGATTGTGTGTGTGTGTGTGTGTGTGTGTGTGAGAGAGGAGAGTGTGTTTAGGTGTGTGTGTGTGTGAGAGAGAGAGGAGAGTGTGTTTAGGTGTGTGTGTGTGTGTGTGAGAGAGAGAGAGGAACGTGTTTAGGTGTGTG